CAAAAAAAAAAACTCTCACACAGTTCCACCTTAACACCATGGGCTGTCAATAACTCAGCTATTACACTAAATTTCATAGTCAATGTTAAACTGCAAGAAAATTTTTCTCATTGTACTCTGAGTACTGCAGCATTGCATTTACCTCAGTCTCATGGAAGCAGACAACATAGTTTTTGGAGTCACACACTCAGTGATTTCACGAACAGCATACAAAACCTTGCAGGTAAATAGCTATGAATCAAGAACATAAAAGATTGTGTATGGGTACGAACCCATACACAGCATCTGCTTGCACACAATCCACACCATCTAACAACCAGAGTTCATCTGGGAGATTCTGCTTCTCCCAACAGATTTACCATGTTATTTTTCTGGATCTTTCTACATTTTTAAGGATTAAATAAACTCTGCAGAAATTTTCATAACTAAACAAATATAGAAAGAACAGGACTACAGATTTTAATTTTTAAAAGTTGTCTTTTAAAACAATGGAAGACAAGATTCTCAGCATAATTATTATCTTTACTTTACTCAGATTCATACATATCTTACTTTGTTTAACACGTTGAACCCTGTGTCGAATTTGCTGTCCTTTCCGTTTAGCCGGCACGAGCAATCAAGTGGTTCAACATTGCAGGGTGATCTGTGACTTCATGTACTTAGTAGAGCTTATCTATTGGTGAGCTTTGTCAGCTACCGATATAGAAGCCCTGTCTGCGAACCGACACCAGCCAAACAAAAATTCTAGCGCCAGTCCCCAGGGACCAATGCTGGCCACACGGAAAGTTCACTGCCGATCCTCAGGGACCAACGCCGGGCTCAACGTGTTAATGAAGCTTTAATTTGACTAATGAGACTTCACCTTTGGTTCCACGTTCTAGCCATTAGATTAGCCAGGTTCACATGGCTATCGTCAGATTTTTGACTTGTTTTCATGTTGTGTAACACTGTCTTTAAAAAAATTATTTTTTTAAGCTATGTAAAACCTACAGTGTAGTCTTACATGCAGATATAATGAAAAGGTTATAGTTTATTTTTTGTAAACTCCTGATGATGATGTTCCCGATTACCCTAAAGGCATTGTTAATCTGACAGCAATTAAAAAAATACACAGGAACGAATAACCCTAATATAGCTCACAGAAAAATACTGTTAACAATTTACCTGTTTTCAAGTAGTTTAATTTGGACAGCAAGTTCATTTGGTTACACAAATTAAATTAGCACTCAAAATAAGAACAGTGAACTTCAGAACAGAAAGACTGATGTTTCATTACTTTTGTACTTCAGTAATCAGAAACAGAAGATACAGGCTGTACATTTAAATTATTTTTATGACTGAGAAATTTATATTTAATGTATGACTAAACGAAGTTTATAATATTTCAAATTATACATAATTAAATAATGCACTGTTCTGCACAAAAATTCATACTAAATCAATGAAGCTGTAAGATATTTGCTGTCTCTCAAAAATTTTTGCAACAGGATCCTTATCTTCCAAAATTCACCTCCAACAGTACTGCATTCATCTCATATTTCATATTACAGACTTAATAGCATTGGCTAAAGAAATATTTAAACAAGGCGAAGAAACGTATATGCTTTCTCTTGCAGGTATGCTACTGGTTAACTGAATTTTGTGCTGGACTTCCTTCTCTGTTTCTGACTTGAAATATGCCTTTGAATAGGCAGGGTTCTGTCCTCTATAATTTATGCAAAGAGGGCTAGATGAGCAATTTTTTGCTGTGCGAACCCATAACAAACAACATATACATGAGGAATAATGTCCAAAACGATGCTAATGAAAATAATATAAGGCAAGTGGTATACAAAATCACATTTTTCAATGTAGATAACTTTACATAGACTGGCTTCCAAAAGTTCAGCATTTTTTGCAAAATCAACAAAAATAGAAAAATAATGCTTTGATTAACATTAAATTATACATGAAAGTAGCAAATGTGAATGTGAAATGTGTGAAAGAAAACAAGCATTATATACAAAGATGAAAACAATATTTAATTTTCATAAATTATATGATAATGCCACAACGGAGACATTAGCACATTTATGTTTAAAGCTAAAAAATTATTAATATGGTATGTGCCAATTCCAAACCTTCACACAAACTTTGCAGAGGCATGCTTTCAATGATCAACCATCACAGATGCTAGAAATGAGTATTCCTCCATTAGCGTAGTTTTCAACTGTCTGGGACTGAGTGGGAGATATAAGCATATTGAGACAACCACACCTGGGGGCATCACAAGGAGTTTCGGTGGGATTAAAGCCAAAGAAATACAGCCATCACTTCACATAATAAATATCCTCACTATCCAGATACTCATTAATGATATAAGTGCAATGGGACGGGCATTATCATCCATAAGGAGGTCATCAGAACCAACTGCTGCAGGACTTCATCCTGATATCAAACAGCCATCACAGAATCATCTTTAAAGATGTGCAGTCCCTTGAAACTGCAGCACATATAATAATGCTGCTACTTTTGCATACATGATACTTGATTTTGGGCCAGATTCTGTATGCTTTTCTCTCCAGACCCTTGCCCGTTTATCATATGATTCCAGGGCAAATCTGGACTTGTTCATTAATAGAACAATGCACCAATTTAAGATGGTCCAATTGAGATGCTGACAACATCCTTCTTATGTTGTCCTTCTGGGTTGAGCAGTTAATGGAACCCAAACATTTTGTACTTAGGCATACAGTCCCTTCATGTGAAAGCTTTGGCATACAGTACTGGCAGATATTATCTTACCAAGTGATGCTGTAATCATGGAAATACAGCTGTGAAGGTCACTTGTTGATTCCACTTGACTACTACAATACAAAGTCCGTAAGGGACTTCGGCGATTCCAGATTAGGGGTTTTTCCCAGATAAATAGATCGTCAATTTAAATCTGGTAAGATGGCATGCAGAAATTATACAATTAAAAATATGAAACCGTAATTTATGAAATAAAGAGCAATTATGATCTAAAGGGTATCAAAATTTACAAAAAAAAAAAAAAAAAAAAGCTTAATATTTATTTGTTTACTTTATAGTAAACATTTCTTCTCAATGTGTAAGTTGTTTAAGTTGCTTCGTTTTTTTGTGCTAATACTTTCTCTTTAATTCTATAAACAGACATAATTTCTTGTTCAGTTACAAAGTTCCACTGTTCAAGTTCTGTAATTGCTGTGTCGAGAATACCGACTAACTTGTCAATCAAAATTTTTTCGTTTTCTCTGTCTCTTTCTTCACTATAGGAAGCATGCATGGGTAAACGCTTTACTGGCTTTACGCGCATGCGTAAGTTTGTGGCTTTGAGATCCGGATTATAGATCATTCCAGATAATGGACGTCCGGATTACAGACTTTATACTGTATAACACTACATCAAATTTCAGAAGGGGTGGTAACCTTGGTCAGCTGGGTACAGGTCTCTAAACAAATGTTTGACTTGCTTCAGCATTCAAGAAATTACCGGATGACCAACTTAAGAAAAAGCTACTTCTTTGATTGACTATTCTGCTTCATTGTGTTCAACAGCACATCAGTGCTCACTATCTGCCATTCATCTTTCAGTCCCAGAAACACAAATACCATAAAAAATTATCATATGGGTGTTACAAACACTTCTTACCAGCATTTAAGTGAACCTGCTCAAACCCATCAGAATGCTCGCATCTTTAACACTAATTAGGATATATTTATTTGCATACTGTCATCTGCATCTACAATGATTTTCAGCCCTCATATTCAACTATGCTTTTGAAAACTCCTAATTTGCTTTGTGTGCTTAACTTCTGAAAGCCGTTAGTTATTTTCCTCTCAGGTATTAAAAGGAAATCAAACTACTATAACACTGCCACCAGGAAAATTCTAAGTTAATATACCAACATTCATATGTTTAATGTTCGTCATTTTGCAAGAGTGATAGATGCACTATCAGCACTGGACACAGTTTCTAGGCATATACCACTAAAACATATCAGTTCATATTTTTTTTTTTTCTGAATTTGTTTTTTGTGGGGTATCATGTTTTCAACGGTTTATGCCTTTTTAATTAGGGACAGAAATTCATTTCTTTTCAGACGGACTGATTTTAAAAGTCATCTACGACATGCAGAAGCCGCCACCTCCAGCTGCCGCACTCACCATGAAAATATAATAAAAAATATCAGGACCAAGCAAGAACTAGTCAATTATAAAAGCCTCCTAAATAACTACAAAAAACTTGAGAAGTCCTATGTACTTTTCTGCAAGTCACTGACAAGACAGGAAGACCAACAGATTGACATTAGTGAGACCTGTTCATACCTTTTGTTTTATTCATAGCAGATGCTAAACTTCTTTTCTGAAAACAAAGATCTCCAAAACGAACATAGCAAAGACAGGTGTAGCCAAAAGGCAGCATCAAGAACATGTTACACTAAAAGAGCACCACAACAGAGATACCAAAAAATGGAGGAATGGAAGATTTAGCTAATACAAGAAAGCAGTAGCGAGAATGATGGCTAGAGTATCACGGAACACTTGTACTCACATTCATGAAGAATAATAAAAAAACCCTGAAGGTTCTCACTGCTAGTTTGAAACTTAAAATTAAAAACCTTGACTGTATGTTTACAGTTAAAAGCATGAGGATAGCAAGGATGTTACAAACAACTTTTAAATCACTTTGTTGATTATCTAAAACTTTACATTTTCAATCACCAAGAGGGAAGACTTCTGGTGGTTAAAAATATAAATTTTCTACCAGTGGCTGAATTTCAAACCTTTATTTCTGCACCGTGATATCATTTAAAGAGAATTTGGTTTTTTGAAAGACACAAAAAATATCAAGCTATTTGAAAGGCAGATGGTGCTATTAATGACAAAGAAAACAATGCAATATATGAATTTAACAATACCTAAAGAATAAATAAATAATTGCACTGAAAAATGAAAATAAAAGATATGTAGTATATATGCACATATATAAAACCTACCTTTTCAAAAGAAAGAACTGTAACTTCATACTTGATATCAACATTAGGTGGAATTTCCATTTCTGGCGCTCCTTTAACATCAAATGCGTACTTGCTTTTAAGATAGATTATAGACCTTTCCTTTAAACGAAACTTTAAAAGAGCAGTCTCTAATCCTTCAGGAATGTCAACTTTACAGCCTTCACCAAGAATGAAGTCTTTTTCAGCATCTTCAAAGATTTCATCATTGAAATACCCTGTTAACTTAACTGGAACAAAGGAAAATTAAACTTAATGAATGATTTAATGTAGGAAAGAGCAGATACTGCACCTAAAAAAGAATTAATCTGAATTTTGTTTTCTACAGATATAGAACAATTTAATCGCCCAGCCGGTATAATGGTTAGTGACCCTGACTGCTATAGCGATAGGCCTGGGTTCGAATTCCGAAGATGGTAAGGTTGTAACTCTCCGTCCCTTTGTAGGACACAACAACGGTGCTTATTAGGTGCTTCCATAATAAAATGGCTATTACTTCTGGTCCTTGTAATGGCACAAGGCTAACGGCTATTAAATAAAGTGAATGTCCATTAATAAAAAGAACAATTTAATGGCTTAAACACAGCTGACTGTTTTTTAATAATGCACAAAATTCAAACTTAGACGGATATTGGTTTAACAGAAAATCTATATGTGTTCAAGGCAATCTAGTACAGGTATCTCTTATTCAAGGAATAAAATGATGAGGAAATTTAAATATATGAAACAAAAGTAAATAATTAAATTAAAAATGAATTATAAGTAACTGCTGTAGAGCTACCTATTGAATAAAAATAAAAGAATTACAACTATAAAATATGATTTTTATTCACATTCTGGAAAGACAGGGCTAAAATTAATATCATTAAGTAATATCATTAGCTGACAAGTTTTAATACGCAAAGGCCTTTTAAGGGCATCTATAACTTCAGTCCAAATAACAAGCACAATGCAGAAAATCAGTAAGTTTAGTACTTCTAAACAATTGATTTCTGAACTGCATTTGACGAAGCATGAACATGCTTGAAACACTTAGAAGACAATAGCTTGATTATACACTACCCGACAGTGAAAATGCAGCATCAACAAGGAACGGCCAAAAAGTGACGAAACTCAACAGAGTGAGAGCAATGAACAGTAAGTGATCTTTATATCAGAATAATATGCATGATACACAATGAGAACAATATGCATGATACACAATGGGATACACAATGAGAACCATTGCACACTATGTAATTTGGCTCAGTAGGTTGTAGGAACACCTTGGACAGCAATACATGAAGCAATACATCTAGGTACTGAGTCAATGAGAATACGGATGGTGCCTGGTTGCATATACATTTACATATTGAAAAATACCAGTAAGTGCAGCATAATAGATATGTCACTTTTAATTTCAGCATAAAAGTTATTACACAATCAAAATATACCACCATTGCACACTATGTAATGCTATGCTCTATACAAGTATGCCAAGAATAAGGTTAATGGTGATGCAGCGACTAGTGTAGTGACAACATTTTCCAGCATAGACAGTTGTTTCTATTTCAACCCAACAATGTGTTTTACTGCTTTCATCCACTAAGGTTTGCAATTATTTCAATAATTATTGAAATGTTATTTTATTTATATTTTAGGATACAAATATTTTTTTACCCATGGTTAATGGTAGAACTTGATTAACAGAGCATATGCATACGACGATGCTATAACATCTCTTCAAGCAGGACCTAATAATCAGAACGAAACATCTACTATGCGAAAAAGAAAATACTATGAGCTTTCATGCATGTGGCTTTATTTTCAGAAAGAAGTCATACACAGAAAAGGTTTAAGAAGCATTGATCTACAGCAATACCTTACATTTAAAAATATAGTTGAATTATTTACAATGATAGAACACTAAATCCGAATAGAATACCAAAATAGAAATACATTAGAATACTAAAAGAAACATAGTTCTACATGTTAGACTAGCGATTTTCAACTTGTGGCCTGCCAAAGATACTTTAGTGGGCCACCAGGCATTTTTGATTAGTTAAAAACAAAACTGTCAATGCAATTGTCTCAAACTATTTGTTTTTCTCACAGAGAAGTTTGCAAGCTGACTCATATTTACCTTGCTCAACTCTGCTTTTGTTGAGTGTCAATATATTTTAAGCATTCCACTGCTTTGACCTTCTTGACTAAAATAAAAACAAAAACCATGCCCAGGGTCTTTCTCATACCTTCATAAACTTCTTGCTAAAAATGTAGAGGGTGGAGTGGGGAAGTTAATGGAATTTTATTTCTCCCAATATTGCATTCAGTTGGGAAATGAACATGTAGATGCAAACATTGTGACTGGTTGGCAATAAGCAGGGTTTGTACAGTTGATTTAAGCTAGGTTACACTTATTTTAAATTCTGAAATTCAGAAGTATTTATGGTCTTCAAATACGTGCACAATGGGAAGCTGTGACAACAATAACAACAACAAAAAGAAAAAAAAAACAAAATTCACTTTTTCCCCCCAAGAAAAGAGGTCATCTCTTTACTTTTTGGCAGAGTACACAGTTTGCCTTATTTTCAATGAGAATGTTGCTGTAATGAAAGGCTATAACATCAAGAGACATTATGATACTAAGCACAGTGGGAAATATTCTGCATTGGAAAGACATTTTTAAAGAGATAAAGCCAGTAAATTAAAATCAAAGATAAACTGTCAACAGTCTTTTTTCTTCAGAGCGAATAAAGAGTCCAAAAATGCTGTTAGCTATATTACAGAAGAAAAAGCTGCTAAACGTAGAAAAATTTTCATTGATGGAGCGTTTGTAAAAAATCATCTTCAATGTGTGGTTGGTCCATCACAAGATCAAGCTATTTCAAACATTAGCTTGTCTGGTGTGACAGTAGCAAAATGTGTGGAAAATCTGGCAGCAGATATATTCAATAAATTAGAATCTGAATGGAAGGTCATTGTGCTTTATTCTGTAGCAATGAACAAAGCAATGGATGCTACAGGTACTGCTGAAGCAGCCACGTTTATTCATAGCTCTAATAGAAACTTCACGATTGTAGATGAATTAGCTAGTATTGTTGCACAGATACAATACTAGAATCATATTTGTTTTCAGGTCTGACAGAAATCTTGGCTAAATATGAATTAGACTTGAACAATATATCTATCTTAACCACAGATGATGTTCCTTCTATAACCAAACACAAAACAGAAGTAATAACATTGCTCACATCTGATGCAAATGCATGTGGAAATAGTACCATGATAGTTTTCTACTATATCCACTAAGAGAATCTGCACAAAAATCCTTTTCAAACTTTGAACATGTGATAATTGCTGTTGTAAAAGTGCTTAATTTTATCTGATCCAAAGTACTTAATCACATGCAATTCCAACAGTTCTCGAGTGCTATAGAAGCTGAACATAATGATGCTGTGTATTAATGGAATTACAATGGATGAGCTGAGGAAAAATGCTTCACAGCCTGTTTTCTTTGAAAGATGAATTTCAATAAGTCATGAAATCTGAAGAGAAATCCATTTGTGAGTGTGATGAGAAGTGGGTAAGACACTTTGCATTTCTGGTTAATATTACAGGTCATTTCAATGATCTGAACTACTGCTTCCTGGAAAAGGTCTATTTATGCATAAACTTTATGACTCTGTGAAAGCTTTTGACACAAAATTAATCTCATGGGAAAGTCAATTGTCAAATAAGAATTCCATTGACTTTCCAAAATTGATGAAGTTGGTGAATAAAAAATGTGGAACTCAGACAGTTATGTACAGTTCATTTAAAATCTAAGACAGGACTTCAAAAGCTAATTTTCTGACTTTCATGAGAATGAGGTTTTCCTCAATGTTCTTCGTAGACATCGAAAGTGTTACATCTAAACTTCAATTAGAATTTGCAGATTGGCAATGTGACTCTGCAGTAGAATGCTAAGTTTCTTGAAAATTCTCAATTAATATATTTTTATTCAAAGTATATGTCTGAAGACAAGTATTCAGGAAGATGTACACATGCATTGTTCATGTCTTCTATCTTTGGTAGTACCTACATATCTGAACAGTTGTCAAAGAGCAAATGAAAAGCAAAAACACATTCAACAGATTAATATTGGGAAGATACTTTATGAATTGCAACAACAGAGGCGGATTCTATCCAGTAGAATCCATCTCTTTTTGCTGTATTAATACAGCAAAAACAATGCCAAGTTTCTTAATTAGACTGAAGTGGCTTTCATCCTGTTAATAATGACTAAGTATATTGATTCGAATTCCACTGAACTTTTACCTATACTACTTACTTGACAAGAATATGGCCTGTGGATCTTTATGAATTTATTGATGTGGTGATGATTGCAATGAAAAGTTATTTGAATTAATCGATGTGTGCATGATAGGTTGAAGATCCTTATGTTAGACTCTTTTAAAAATCTCCTTATGTTCTAGTTTTGGAAGACATCTAGTTCCTTACTTTCCAATTTTTTATTGATTTAAAAAAGTGCATGAAGTTAGATTATATTTTAGAAACAGCAGGACTAGCATGTGAATGAGGAACTGCTTGGTTTGTAGTTATTAATCATTTGTGACACATTAACCAAACACAGAAATCTAAAATTTTTATGAATCATTCATAATCTAATCATGCCAAATTCATGAGTTTAAAGAGCTGATATGTTTTTAATTAAGCATTAAGTAAAATATTGAAACACTATTTTAATATCTACAGTTTTCAAAAGAACGGCTTTAATAAGTCAAAAGCTGACAACTAAATACAGAAATAAGGAGATGCAAGAAGCCCATGAAAGAGACTTCTAGTATAGTTAAAAAACAAAAAAAAAAAAAAAAAAAAAAAAAAAAAGAGCAATGTGTGAACATGTCTAATCTACAACTTATAAAACTGATTTTAAATCATACATGACTAAGAGAAAGCTACTTCTAACCAAGACAGAAAGGTAAAAAAAAAAAAAAAAAAGAAAAAGGTTAAGATAGCTGAAAAAGATATTTCTACCTATTACTACACATTTTATATAACTTATGATCATCAAGGGACAGATGTTTGATATCATAATAAGCATTTACACTTAAATACATATATTAAATATACAACACTTAAAATTAAATTTCCAGCCAGGATCATAGTCATTACCAAGGTAAGCTGTGTACTGTGTGTAAAAAAAGAAATTCTAACAAACTAAGCAAATAAATTCTTGATAGGTTTA